TGTAAGATTAGCTTTTACTTACACACACACAAAAGTAATCACATGCTTGTGAAAATTAACACATTTAGTGACTGGCTTGGCGTGGGGAGGGGATGCTTACAGCATAACCTTTCTGAGATTCTGTGTGTTCAGTAACATAAAGGACAAATTCTGAAGAGGCCAGTTTGTGGACTGGATTTTCTTAATGGGTTAATAAAGACAACCTGTGAGAGTCACTCCTTTCCAGGGCTAAGAAAAAGCCGCATGGGGTCTGGGGACCCATCAAGTGCGTCCAAAAAGCAAAAAGCCTAAATTTCATGGCGGCATGTGGCTGTGTTTTATTACGGTTCAGAAGTTCCCTTAAGTGTGAAAGATTTTTCTCCCCTGCTGTTTGACTTGCCAGAAAAGTTGCTGTCTCTCTAGATTACACAGCATGTCAGCTCACTGAATGCTTTCAGCTCACTACAGAGTCTGTGCATTTAGACTTTAAAAGATGGAGGACTTTTACAGATGAATAACCAGACGCACAAAGGCTAGTCGACCTGCTCAAAGTCACGCAGATAGCATCTGAGTTCTAATGAGAATGTGGCTTCCCTCCCACTCCAGCTCTTAACTTCTGTGCCAAGTTACCTCTGATTTTGTTTGCAGATGACGCTGGGACAAGCAAATAAAATGGCAGGTGGTTAAATCTAAGTATTGGAGCTTTACTTTCATAGGAAATAGATGGGAATCAGTGCTAGAAGTCCAGAGTACCTCTCTGTTACTTAGGAATGGTGAGGTAATTTTTTTTAACTAAAAGGTACATATTTTCACATTTAAATTTATATTCCACATATTTGAGAAATAATAAGCAACATGTAAGGAGAATCATTGCATCTAGCATTTGTTGCTGTTGTTAGTTTCTGTGGAGTTGGCTCCGACTCATGGCCACCTTATGTATAACAGAATGAAATGGTACCAAGTTCTGTGCCGTCTTCACTATCGTTGATATTCTTTGAGTTCTTTGTTGCAGGCACTGGGTACTTTGAGTGCCTTCCAACCTAGGGTCTCATCTGCTAGCACTATATTGGACAATATTCTGTTGTAATCCATAGGGTTTTATTGGCTACTTTTTGGAAGCAGATCACCATGCCTTTCTTTCTAGACTGTCTTCGTCTGGAAGCTCTGCTGAAACCTGTCCACCATGGGTATCCCTGCTTGTATTTGTAATACCAGTGGCATAGCTTCCACCATCATAACAACACGCAAATCACCACAGTACAACAAACTGGCAGACGGGTGGTGGCATCTACCATAGTTTGGTGAAATTGAAATTGTTCTCAGTAATGCTTCTTTTACCCCAGTTTTTGTTTTCGTTTTTGTTTTGTTTTGTTTTGTTTTGTTTTTTTCTTTTGATAAAGTTTATTTACTTTTGATGTAAAATAAAATCTAAACTTCCCCAACTTGGAAGGAACACCAGCAGCATTCTGTTGTTTACTGAGGGAAACAATAAATTCTTCAGTATTTCTCTCAGAGAAAAATGTCAACTTCCTGGGTTCTGAGATTACTTTAAGTACTTTATATAACCAGAATGTCCCCAGGCTTCCTCAAACAGATGTTACAAATGAGGCCACCTTACTATTACGAACCTGGATTTCCTAGGTTCATTAGCCCCCACCTGCTGCCTGGGACTCCATCGCAATCTGAGGCTGCCCCTGCATCCCCTCCTGGTCTTCCTTCTGGGGGGTCTCAGTTGTGCTGGGTGCCAAGTATGAGCCAGCCCCCCATCATGGCCTCTTCACTGATAACTTCAAGCTCTATTCCACTCAAAGCAGAAATGGGGGGAGCTTTTCCCCACATCACACTTAATTCCTTGTTATATTTGGTTATTTAGATCCCAGAGCAGCACTTGGTCATCCCAAGTTTAATAAAATCTCCTAGAAGTCTGTTAGCTTCTGCTCTTTCTAGCAGGTTCTTTCTTCTCCTGTGGGGTTGAGGAATAGAAACGATCAGTTTTCTTCCTTTCTCGGTCCCTCCAACCCAAGTATCAGTGTAGGTCTCCAGCCGACAGGCATATAATCAATGGATGCTGATAGATATGTGGGGGGATGCTGTGGGGGTAGGGAACATCAGTCTGTCAGGCTCAGCCAGGACCACCCTTCCATACTGAAGTAAGTAACCGCCTACTAATTTGTAATCATGATGAGTGATTCCTAAGTGACATTATCCTCCTCAGGAGGTACCCACTCTTATTAAATTTTGTTTTATCTTATTATTTAACTTAACTTTGCTTTTACCCATGACTGTCAGAACTAGGCAAAACCTATTAAGAAAAGTAAAATCAATAACCAGTTGCTGTTGATTCTGACTCATGATGATCCTATGTGTGTCAGAGTAGAACTGTGCTCCACTGAGTTTTCAGTGGCTGATTTCTCAGAAGTAGATCACCAGGCCCTTCTTCCAAGGCCTCTCTGGGTGAACTGAACTGCCAACCTTTCAGTTGGCAGGAGAACACATTCACTGTTTGCACCACCAAGGAACTCTAACTTTGACTAAAAAGTTAAGAAAAGTAGGAATCATTAAAGCTAGCTAATGCTTTTTTTTAAAAAAAAAATTGAAAATACTGTTTTAAAATAAGGGAAATCTGAGATGAAAATTGTGTTCAATATCCCATTCTAACTAAAAGCAATGTTTTCATTTGTGCAGATTACCATCCTGTGTCTGTTTTAATGCCTCCATAACAAGATACGTTGTTAAACATGTAAAGAGGTGTGGAAGGATACCCTCTGTGGGATCAAGTCATGCTATGATTATAATTTTAACCAATTTTTTTTTCAAATAGGATTAGTAATTTCTTTGATAATTTTATTTTTCTTTCAAATTCTAGCTCCCAAAGATATAAATTAATCAACTCCTTTTGACATTTTCTCTTTCTTTTTTTTTTTTTTTTTACCACCCATATGTGAATAGTTTTCTCTGTAGATACCCAACCAGGCTTGCGAAGGAGTTGCCTGCAGCCAGTGTGGCATCCACATCCATTCTCAGTCTTTGAGCGGCTTCTCTGAGCCCCTGGTTCCTCCTGATTGGATTACAAAGGCTAGTCTTGGTGTAAGACTGGAACTTTTAACAGTGCCATTTCCCCCGGAAGATTCCTTCACTCTGCCTTTCTGTACTTCATGTTATTTTGAAATTCAGCTCATGTTTTCTGCAACCGCTACTCTCAGATTTGTTTTTCTTCATGTTCTTCTCACCGAAGCTTACATCAGCCTTCATCTCTGTACACATACTTCTCAGGGGGAGAAGTAAGCGGCTACTTTGGTAACTGACATATTCATCTCATATTTTGTTATGATGTTCCATTTCTGCTTTTTTGAGATTAAATTCAAGTTTCTAGGCATATGTTTTCTCTTTTCTTTCTTTCTTTCTTTTTTTTTTTTTTAAGGATAGAGGAGTTTCGAGTTGGGTAGAAAAGGAAAGAGGAAGTAGAGATATTCATTTGCCCATTTTATCCATATAACCAATATTCAAATATTTATAAGCATCTACTATATGGCAAGCAGTGGCCGTAATGATTTATAAGGAAGATGATGGTCTTTGATCTTCCAGAACATACATCCTGAGGTGGGGGTGAGGGGACATACCAATGTTAATAAAAACGAAGGTAAGAGATGTGCCCACCACCTGCCTGTCAGTTTGTTGTGCTGTGGTGGCTTGCGTGTTGCTATGATACTGGAAGCTATACCACTGGTATTTCAAATACCAGCAGGGTCACTGATAGTCGACAGGTTTTAGCGGAGCTTCCAAACTAAAACAGACTAGGAAGAAAGACCTGGAAATCTACTTCTGAAAATTAGCCAATGAAAATCCTGTGGATCACAGAATATTGTCCGATATAGTGCTGGAAGATGAGCCACCTAGGTTGGAAGGCACTCAAAATACACAGTGGCTGCAATAATGGACTTGAGCATACCAACAATTGTGAAGATGGTATGGGACAGGGCAACATTTTGTTCCATTGTACATGGGGTTGCCATGAGTCGGAGCCAACTTGATGGCAACTTAACAACAACAAGAAGTGATGTGTAGGTTGCTTTAAGAACACAGATGGACAATATCCCTAGGCTTTAGAAGTCAAGAGGACTACTTGGTAGAAGTAACATGTAAATGAACACCTGACAGTTGAGTAGAAGTTAGCCTGGCAAAGTCAAGAGACAGACCTAGGTCAGAGAGAGCATGATAAACTCAGATTTCTGAATGGAGTTTGAATTCAGGGTGCCATCTCCAGGGGAAGGCTTTCTCTCTCTCTCGGCTCTGGGGGAAGATCCTTGTCATCAGTCTTCCCCTGGTCTAGGAGCTTCTCAGAGCAGGGACCCTGAGTCCAAAGGACGTGCTCTTCTCCTGGCTCTTTCTGGGTGGTATGAGGTCCCTGTCCTCTCTACTCTATTCTCTCTTTTATTTCTCAAAAGAGATCAACTCAAGATACAACCTAATCTTGTAGATTGAGTCCTGCCTCATTAACATAACTGCCTCTAATCCTGCCACATTAACATCATAGAGGTTAGAATTTACAGCACACAGCATAATCACATCAGATCACAAAATGGTGGACAACGACAGAGTACTGGGAATCATGGCCTAACCAAGTTGATACACATTTTAGGAGAACACAATTCAATCTATAACAGGCAGAAAGCTGTGAGAAAAGAAAAACTCAAATATTTCCTACTAAAACAAGTGATAGAAAAGTGGTAAGACCGTACCCTATCAAAGGCTGAAAACTTGCCAGGTTCAGAAAAACAAGGCAGTCCCGTTGAGTTCTGGCTCTCAGAAGTTTCACTGTAATATACAGCATATGCAGTGTTTTAGGTGTATAAAATCCAAGAGAAAATCTAAATTCTGAAACATCTACCTCAAGGGTTTGTTACCCTTTATTTCAAGTCCTGTTAGTAGATAGGATCAATGAAAGGGTATATGAAATAATAAGAGTGATGGATATGGTGAACTGTCACTCAATATCCATTCCAAACTCCTTTCTGTTTTGCAGAAGCTGGAAAGTTAGAAACTAGATTTGTCTCCTTGGAAGCTGCGTTTGGGGATGTAATTTCACAAAGCGGATGCGTTTCTGCAAGATTTGGAAGATGAAGGAGAAGTAAAGGCTGAACTGCAGTTGCTGTTGGTGAGAATAATCATGGGGGGTGGGAAAGTGTAGATTTTACGGTAGCTTCCTGAACATGCTGTTCCCTGATCATGATAACCTCCTGATCATAGTAGTGGAGAAAGTTATAGAGAGGGGGAAGCCAAAACCATAGTTCCTATACGATCTTGCAATTAGGATTCTGGATATGACTTAGGTTCTACCAATGGGATGTCCTTATATGAGATCTGGACGGTAGAAATAAGGTGAGGATAATTCTTCTGCCTATGTTGTTTCTGTTTTAAGCATCACCTGGAAGTGGTATCTTCCTGATCCCGTGTCATTCTTACTGTCAGCTTCCCAAGGGTGGCGGCACTGGCTTGGTTCTGGGGTCAGCAGATGGAGCGGCACTTTCACAAATTGACAGATAGCCTCTGGATTGTAAGGGTCAGTCTCTCCTAATGTGTTCTTCAAGATGTTCGAGAAAGCTCATTCTTGAGTTTGTTTTTTGAGCCTTCACAGTGAGTCTGTAGGAAATTTAATAACCTCTATTAAGTCCCTTCCTGCTTATGTTAAATAGAAGAAAAAAAATCGGTTTTCTGTAATGAATCCTGACTGACAAAAATGCCTAGGGCAAATCTTGAGGAAAAATAATTCATGAAGTATTATAAGAGCAGAAAACTTCACCAGAATGAATGAGGTAATGGAAAAGAGTAAAATAACTGAATCACTATGTGGGTCAATGTTTTTAGGCTATGCACGTCTGTGGACCCTAAAATAATCTCATTTACCCCAAAAGGTAGAAGATCTCCTGCTTTGGAAACACCACTCTTATATTTAGTCACACATCTCTTCAACTGGGTCCTCCCAGTGAGGGTGAGTCATAATATTTTGCCTCTTCCCTGCCCTCTCTGTGTCTTCCCACATGTTTCTATGCAGCTTCAGAATGGCTCTAATATCAGAAATTTTGACATAATAGTGTCTTAGTAGGCATTAAACAAGTGCTCTTCATGAACACTTTCTAATTATTTAGCATATTTTTTGTACTGCTAGAGGAAGCCAATCAACAGAACATCATAGTTAGGCATAAATAGAATATGCTTTGCAGAAGGATTACTTTTCTGTTTTAGAATTGCAATTTTAGAAAATAGATTTTGTAACAATTACCATGTGTCTATTGTAAAGAAAACTTTAAGACTTAGGAATGAGCAAGAGATTACTGGATATCCTTTCAGTGGAATAGTGGAGCCTCCAGGGGACTGTCTGATTCTATGGCAGTTCCACATTTTTTATCACCTTGGAGATATTTTACAACTCTGTAAACTGTGGATAGCTGATAGCAATGCAAATAATTTTTGTCTATAGACATGCAAACAAATTCTATCAGGTGAAGAAAATAACTTTGAGTCCATTTGTAAATTCATTTCAGCATTCCCCTACTCCATTTAAATTAATGGTTCTTTGACTTCTCCTTTGAACAGGCTGGACATTGGCCTGGTTTCTTCATAAATTAATGAGTTAAATAAAATTGTGGATATGTGTTCATTTTATATCTGTATAAGAGTCATAATTTTATTATTTTCTTTTAAAATCTTTTAATATTATCATATGCAAATTTAAAATGGAAGTTTATTTTTTTTAAAGGCTTTTATTGGTATGGGTATTTTTTTCATCTTAAACTACAATAGTTTGAAAACACAACTGCTAATATCTACCTAATACCATCGTGATTATTACTGTGATTAAAAAACCACACAAAAACCCTACAAAACTCTGATTTGATCTGCTGAGAAACGAAGAAAAAGAGAACAAATTTGCATGACTATTTTAATACTTTATTTAATTGTGTTTTTTGAGGCACCTAATGGCTGAGGTGGAAACCCTGGTAGCATAGTGGTTAAGTGCTACGGCTGCTAACCAGAAGGCTGGCAGTTCAAATCCACAAGACGCTCCTTGGAAACTCTATGGGCCAGTTCTACTCTGTCCTATAGGGTCGCTATGAGTCGGAATCGACTTGACGGCGGTGGGTTTGGTTTTTTCTTTTACGGCTGAAGTAATTTCATATATACTTATTGGCTGTTGATATTTTATACATAGACAATCTACCCAGAGCAAACTCTGTTCCAAAGGTGTTACATGGGGTGATTTTTAGTTGTGGAGACTGCCTAAGGCAGATCCTAAGCAGAATTGTGAGGTGGCAGAATCACACATGTTGTTTTTATGCAACACCTGCTGACTACCTCCCTATATCCCCAAGCAGATTCTTTCTCCTTCCTCTTATTGAAGCCGTTTCTCCCAGGTGGGTCTCTATCTGCCTAGGAAATGTGGAAATCAGAAAGAGATATCTGAACTTGCTTCAAATTACTGCAAGGTCACTAATAATATGACCTGGGCAAGTTAATACACTTTCTGACTTTCGTTTTCTTCATCTTTGAAGAGGAGATAACAACCTGTAGAAGGTTGCGGTATTAGGTGACGCCTACACGGTGCCTAGCTCAATCTGGGCTTATTCCCTTCTTTTTCTGTCTCATCCATAATGATCACAGTTGTAGCTTGGCAGGGGAAGGGTATAGTCCCAAGTACAGTAAACACGGTTTTTAAATGCAAACTCTTATGGATTGAATTGTGTCCCTCACGTTTCAAAAAAGAAACATGAAAGTCCTAGCCCTTGTACCTGTAAATATGACCCTGTTTGGAAATAGGGGTTTTCTTTTATGTTAATGAGGTAATACCAGAGTAGGGTGAGTCCTAAGCCTCATCACTAGGAGTGGTTGTTATGGATTGAATCATGTCCCCCCAAAATGTGTGTTGCAAATCCTAACCTATGCCTGTGATTATAATCCCATTTGGGAATGGGTTGTCTTTGTTATGTTATTAAGGCAGGATTAGTGTAGGGTTATCTTGAGTCAATCTCTTTTGAGATATGAAAGATTAATCAAGCGAGCAAAGCAGAGATAGGGAAAGACTGATGCCAAGCCACATGGAGATCTCCAAGGAACAAGAAAGCAGTAGCCGAAGAGACAAGGACGTTCCTCCAGAGCCGACAGAGAGAGAAAACATTTCCCTAGAGCCAGCACGCTGAATTCGGACTTCTAACCTCCTAAACTGTGAGATGAGAAAATAAATTTTTGTTTGTTAAAGCCGTCCACTTGTGACATTTCTGTCATAGCAGCACTAGATAACTAAGACAAAATTTGGTACTGGAAGAGTGTGGTGCTGCTCTAACAGATACTTAAAATGTGGAAGTCGTTTTGGAATTGGCTAATGAGTAGAGGCGGGAAGAGTTTTTAGGAGCCCTGGTGGCACAGTGGTTAAGAATTTGGCTGCTAACCCAAAGGTCGGCAGTTCAAATTCACCAGCCACTCCTTGGAAACCCTACGGGCAGTTCTGTAAGGTTGCTATGAGTTGAAATAGACTTGATGGCAACAGGAATGGTAATAGTAAAAGCCTAGATTGCCTTGAACAAACTGTTAGAAGAATTACGGATGTCAGAGGCAATTTTGGTGAGGGCTCAGAAGGAAGTCAGAAGGAAGTGAGGAGAGCTATAGAGAAAGTCTCTATTGTCTTAGAGAATGCATATGGTGTCAGCAACAGAATGTTGTTAGAAGTGTGAACGTTAAATGTGCTTCTGGTGAGGCTTTAAAAGAAAACAGTGAACATGTGATTGGACAATGGAGGAAGGGTGATGCTTTGTATGCGTTGGCAAAGAGCTTGTCTGAATTATGTTCAAATGTTTGTTGGAAGGTAGAACTTGTAAGTGGTGAACTTGGATATTTGGCTGAGGAGATTTCTAAGTAAGCTCTCAGAAGGACTGATAACTTGGATTAGAGCAAGGAACAAAAGGAAAGTTTCCATGCAGATTTGTGATGTGTTGAGCCAAACAGGGTTGCCTGGTTAATGACCACAGAGACAATGAGTTACAGGTGAGGTAGGCGATACCTACCTCATAGGTGAGGGCCTTGCTACCCCAGCACCAGTGGAAGGGGGCTATGCATGCTCTCAATTCTCTTATGTCTCCAGAGGCTAGGCAGTTGGCCTTTTGAGCACCATCACTGACCATTCGCATGCATAAAGGGAGAATAACAGGTAGGGTTCCTTACCTGGGCCCAATCCCAGGATGTGTTCAGCTGCTCCCAGCTCAAGGAGGCTTCTGTGCATAATGGGAAAAGGATGAGGAGCTCGTACACCCCACAATTTTCTGTCCATGTCTATGCCCATTGATGGTGCTGGTAGTCTCCAAGTCCTTTGCTGGACATCTGGGAGTTCTTACCTTTCTGACTTAACTATACAATTCCTAGCTTGCTTGCAGGTTTACCCAATTCTACTTTACCATTAAGCCCCTATTTCCTTAATACATTGACAGTTTTCAATTTTACCTGAACCCTGTGACCCTGGAAAACAGAAATGGTTAAAGTAGTCTCCCTCCCATTTTGTGATCTGGAAAATGACTGACCAAGATGGCCTTAACATTCTCCTCAGCTTGACTAAACTTTAGGCAGACTTTTTCCTGACTCTAGGCCTCTGACCTTCCTCTCTCCCAGGTCCTTACAGAATCCACTTGGAAAATATTCCATCTGGTCTCAACAGTAAACTCAAGAAATAACTTCATGTGATCAGCACACCCCATTCCTTAACCCTAACATCCTTCAGTACTTCAATGTTTTTCCACTAGCTCATTCCAGACTCTTCTGCTCTCTGCTTCAGCAGAATTAGAGCTTAGACTTATATCTGGTCTCTCTACCTGCTGTAACAGTCTCTTTCCCCTCTAGTGATCTTTGCCCCCTAGTCCTTTCCTTCCCTCCCACCTTTTGCAATAATTCTTTTTGAATAATGTCATCTTTTCTTGTTTTAATACTGTCTGATACAATTTTTCTTTATTGTAAGGATTAAATAACATATTTGAGAGCACAAGCCCAGGGTCTGGCACATGGGAAGTGCTCAATAAATATTTGTTGGAATTAAAACTAAGTGTTATTTTATTTATTAGATCCATAAACCATTCTTTGAAATGTCATGGAGTGAATAGCTTCATGAATAGCTGACAGTCCCATGTGCTTGAGCTTCAATCTCTGGACCCTGGTCTGCTCTTAGCTGGTTCTTGACCAAGCCCTGCTACGATGTTAGTTAACCTCTTGTTTTGTTGGCTGCCGTCAGGTTAATTCCAACTCATGGTGACCTTACATACAACAGAACAAAACACTGCCCAATCTTTCATCATCCTCACAATCACCAGCATGTTCGAGTCCATTGTTGCATCTATTGTGTGGATCCCTCTCACTGAGGGTGTCCATACCCTTGCTAGCTCTTCACTTCACCAAATCTGATATCCTCCTCCGGCAACTGATTCCTCCTGAAGACCATCCAAATCAAGCAAGTTGGACAGTGTTGTATTGTGATTCATAAGGTTTTCAGTGGCGAATTTTCAGAATTAGATCCCCAGGCCTTTCTTCCTAGCCTATCTTAGTCTGGAAGCTGAAACCTGCCTACCAAGGTTGATCATGATGGTAATTGAAATACCAGAGGCATCGCTTCCAGCATCACAGCAACACACAGCCTACCACAGTGGAGTTAACCACTAAGGTATTAAAATGAACTGCTAATATGTGTTCCCCCCAGGGATCTCTGCATTTTAAATGGTTTTAGGGAAGACCTCATAATTGCTCTGTTCTTGAGAGCCTACAGTGCTGACTGGCAAAAATTTCTCTCTCCCACTTCCCTCCTCGTAGGCTAGTAAACAGTGATGTGGCCAAAACACAAGAAATGAAAAGAGGTATAGATGGTCACATAGCTCGTAGATGGAAGCTGATCGGGTATTTATTTATTTTGAGAGGTAAAAATGCTGAACACCTTCTAAGTTTAAATGATTAATCTTAACACTTCTTACTTTTATGTAACATATCCTAAATGTCTTCTCAGATCAGATGGAAAGAATAATAGGAATAAATAATTATTGCTGTTTTTAGTAGAAGAAAATAGACTAAACTGAGAAATGCAAGTTTACTTTTAAAGTGTTTTGACTTCTTTCTTTTTCTTTTTCACATTTTCAAGCGATGCATACCAATGAATCAGAAAATAAAAATGAGTATTTCGCCGAAGTGTACAAAACAGAACTAATAATGAACAAGCAAAACCACTTTGGTCTTTAGTCTCAATAGAAATTAATTGTTCCTGTAATAATTCAGGGAAACAGGTTTTTGATAGACTTAATTTCAGTATTATGTCTTTGGGTTCTCAAACATACTAATCAGAATTTTATCAAACCTGAGTTCCCTACACATGAGCAAATCAGAGATTATGTAATCACAGCAGTTAAATTCTTCCCACTGAGCAGAAAAAAGCATTAAATGTAATTTCTGATTGCTCTTTTAATATTCCCCACAGTTCCAAGTATAATGGAAATACAGTGGAACTCTGATTAATAAATCTTTTAGAAATGAAACTCATTTATAAAAAATGAGTTCAAGTTAAAAAAAAAATTTCAAGTCAAAATTTATGCATTCTTTCAAAGCAAAGTTGCACGATGTAAAAGTCTGAATGGCAAAACCCTTAAGTAGGTTCTAGCAGCTGCTTCCAGCTGAAGATTCATTAAGTTTGAACTAGATAAAGTTTTTAAACTTTATCTGCTACTTGCACATTTCCCTGTTTGTGTCATATGAAAAAAAATTTCTTTACCTTTTGTTTTGCTAATTTTCTGTAGTAAAATAGGGAAGGTGCTGATATCATTCATTTAAATACACTGTCTATATTTAAATCTGAGTGTGTTTTGGGGACCCCCTGAACTTGCAGTTAGTATCAGGGTAAGGGTGGTCTTGGAGACTGCTCTCTAAGTTTGCTCACCTTTATTTCCTTTTAATGCCCTTAATTTTCAGTTTTGTACAATCTATTCGGGACATCTATAAGCAGGCAGGAAGA